GACTCGTCATGAACATGGATTGTTCTTGTCTCGTCTCGTCTTGTCTTGTCATCATGAGCGCAGTGCAATCTAGCACATGGGATCATGGGGCTTCCCTGAGGTCAGAAAGCGAAAAGCCTCGTGCTGGCTGTGTGTGTGCATCCACGTCGGCAGATCACCCTTCCAATCTCATTCGCTCCAGGTGGTGATGTGATAAAGTCGGAGTCGGAACCTCGGAGTCCATGGAGCTTGGCGAGTCTCCGACGCCGACTGAAAGGGTGCTTGCAACAATTGATTGTGACAGTCAGTCAGTCTGATCGGAAAATTTATTGGACTTTATTAAACAATGTGGACTTTGTCCGGAAGATTTGGTCGCTTGCGTTGGCAAGGTGCCGGCCGTTAACGTTCTCAGTCAATCGTTGCCCAGCAGCTATGCCAAGGCTGAAATGATGTACTACATGCAGTGAGTTCAGTTGCTTCTTGGATCACCGAGGCATGGGCTGCCTCCGGTTCCTACACTGTGAGTGGTCATATCAAATGACTAAGACAAGTCAAGGGGAGAACAGATGCCCTGCGGCTCATTTGGCTTTATTGATCGAGGCTCAGTACGGAGCACTCTAGATTGCCACGTCGACTTGTAGGCTTGTATGGGCTGGTAAATACCTAGGCAGGTAGGTAATCTCATCTCCCCCTCAGTTTAAAACGTGGTCGGTAAAGTTTTTGCGGTACAATACGCGGAAAGCATGGAAGTAAGCGTTATTTGACAGGGCGAATTCTCACGCGACTCAGCCCGCCTATCAGGCTTGGCAGCGGCTTCGAAGGAAATTACGGTAATACGCCTTGATTCGGGCTGCCGCAAACCCCGTTGCTCCGCGATGTCCGGGCAGTGTGCTATGTCAGCAACTTTGTTTGTGTCGTCTTGATTGATTGGCTTCGCAATGACAAAAGAGCTCCGTCTGAGCGTCAGAGAAGAGCTGATTAGGCTTAGGCGCTGGCTCCAGTGCAATCTCCAGGCGACCCTGGTACCATCCATGCACAACGCCCCGCTGAGGCTTGTTGACTGGCCGGTACCCCAAACCCTTGTATCGATGACTCCTCCCGCAGCATCCGGACTTATTTGAGTGAGGACGAGGAAAATCTTGCGGTGCGGGCCCCTTGAATGAAGCTAATGCCAGTGGAGTGTGATGGGGGCAGTAGCTTAGCGCCCACTGGAATCCTGCGCGATGTGCCCTGTTGAATTTATACTCTTTAGCGGACTGCGGTTGCAAAATCAGCTGTAAAGACCTTGGTTTTTCAGCGCTTCTAGTGGCCAGCTGCACTGGTACACGCCCCCTGGTGCATCACTTTGCTGCACCTCGTCATCATACTCGATCCCTCTCTCCACTTTCTTCATATTACTACTCCCATTTCCTCACCTCCATCTTGATCTTCCCTCCCTTTCTCTCTCTCCTCGATCCTCGGCTTGGTTTCGTCTTAGATTCGCACCTTGTTAAAGCATCTATCTTCCTCCGTCACGACTTCAGGTCCTAGCCTCACATCTTCTTTGTGTGTGGCGTCCTTGTCGCGTGCTGCCTCCCTTCTCTGCGACTCGACAACCATCGCTCTGGACGGCCATCCCGACGATTCCGACCATCGTTGTATGCGTGCAAGTCAAGTGAATAGGTCAACTTGGATATGAGGTAGCTTTTGGGTATTCATATTGGGTTACCGACTACGCGTTACGAATTTCTTCAAGAATTATCTTGCGCTACGCTACAAATAATCATCACGCACCCCCTTTCGAACCACCGTTCTGTCGATCCAAACAACTTTCTTCTCGGCCTTCACCATGAACGACTTCTCCGCCACCCTTTCAGGGAAGCCCAAGCTCCAGCTACTTTGGCCCGAGCACGTTAATCTGCCATTCCTCAACACTGTTCCTCACAGATATCGAATTGGTCGTCGACGCACTAAATCGAAATCGAGACCTGGTAATGAGGAGATCACCAGTCTTAAAACCTCTTTCAACGCCTGGGATGGTGTTCGAGATCTCCAGAAGCATCATTGGAGGACGTCAGATCTCCAATATGCTGTCGTTGGCCTCCTAATTCTCTTTTCCTTTTGGATTGCTCCTCCGGCTCCTGGTGTCAAGCTCCTGGCCATCATCGGTAGTGTTTGGGTTCTGCTCATGCCTGCCACCCGTCAATTCTTTTTGCCATCAGTGACAATCTGGACCTGGCTACTGTATTTCTTTTGTAGTCGGTATGTGTTGATTTGAAAGGCCAATTTCGTCGCCTGCTAACATTTTTCAGATTCATCCCCAACGAGTACCGACCTCATATTTGGGTCCGCGTGCTACCGGCCCTCGAGAACGTCTTGTATGGTGCTAATCTGTCGAGCATTCTCTCCGCTCACCAACACTCGGTTCTTGACATTCTTGCCTGGATCCCCTACGGCCTGTGCCATTTTGGCGCTCCTGTAGTCTGCGCCCTGCTCATGTTCGTCTTCGCTGCCCCCGGTACCGCCCCTGTCTGGGCTCGCACCTTCGGCTGGATGAGTATTCTGGGCGTCACCATCCAGCTTCTCTTTCCTTGTGCGCCACCTTGGTATGAGATGGAGCATGGTCTTGAACCTGCTGCCTATGGCATGCCTGGATCTCCCGCAGGACTCGCCCGCATCGACGCCATTTTTGGCATCGACCTCTACACGACCAATTTCAGCACTGCGCCTGTTCCTTTCGGCGCTTTCCCCTCGCTCCACGCCGCGAATGCCGTTCTCGAGGCTCTTTTCATGTCTCACTGTTTCCCCCAGTTCCGAACTTACTTCATCATGTACGCTGGATGGGTCTGCTGGGCCACCATGTACCTCAGCCACCATTATGCCATTGACTTGGTGGTCGGTGGCTTGATTGCCTCTTGCTTTTTCTACGCAGCAAAGGCCCGATGGTTACCCCGACGACAGGAGGGAAAGATCACGCGATGGGAATACGAGTACGTGGAGTACGGCGACCGCAACGCCATTTCTGACGAGGAGTATGGCGAGTACTTCGGTATGGGTCTGCTTGGACGCCCTCGCGCCGACTCCAGCGATGGCTGGACTGTTGCCAGCTCCAGCTGCAGTTCTAGTAGCGGAACCCTGAGCCCTACTCTCTCCGAAGAAGCCCTTCCCGGAATGCTCATGGATATGGACAACAATGGACAGCTCTGGGACGGCAACGCTCCTGCTCGAGATGTGGAGTTGAGTGAAGTTGTGGTGGTGCGGTAATTGGCACGACTGAGTAATAATACGGCTACCCTCGGACACTCTCATCCCAGACCGGGGAAACGAAGCGACTTGTTGGGAATTTTACGATTTTAATGCCCCGAACCCTTTTTAATCTTCGACCTTACATTTTTTTTTTGATAACCTCTTTGGCATTCATCGGCACAGCGAAATGGCGCAACACGGTGCTTTACCACGGCAGATGCTGGATTCTGACGCAGGGCCGTCAGGGCCAGACGGCAAACGGTAATAATGGGTTCAAGGGGCTGATGCGTCCCATTTTAATGTATACCCTGCGGAAGGACAAAACCGGAACTGAATAGAGTAATGTATACAACCAGAGGAAGTTTAATTCGTGTATGGACATGATACGACGCCATGTCATGCACCGTTACGCTCGCTAGAGAGCCTGGACGACGACTCGAGAGGGACATTGCTTTATGATAAGCACCCCTACTCATGAGGAGGAGGAGATATGAAGGACAACTGGCTCACAGCCGAATCCTGGATGATCCTGGAGAGCAAAAACCAGGCGGCGCAAGGAGGTGGGCTGACTTTGGTGAAAAGGAAAAGGAATACCAAAGATACCATTCGCTAGATATTAGCAGCTAGAAGAATTGACAGCACGTTGTTCCTGTCACATCGTGTTCTCAGATTGAAAGTCCCTGTAAATCTTGATGATACCCACTGGGTACCAATGTGCAGCTTGACGTTCATGGTTCAAGTGTCGTTGCAGGTGGCACGCGATCAGGTGGGCCCGTTCATGATATCCAAATATCAACATGTCGATCTTCATCTAGCCCAAGAAATTCCTCCCACTTCTGTTCAGCGGCATCAGGAACGCCAAGTCTGCACGGCACTCTTGACCTCTTGGCATACACAAGTGCTGTTTCTTCTAATTCGCTTTGTCATGATTTAAGAAGTATCAGTGTCAATTCGTCGGTCCGGTCTTCTAGGTTGTACGCAAGTATCAGTAGTCTAAGTCGTACAAACGTGTGATTTGAAACTCTCGGTCTCTGCTCAAGTTCCAAGCAAGAGAATTTCCAACTCTGACCTAATCCATTCATGCCTTTGAAAACAGTACTTGATACAAGGCGCTCTCCACATTTGTCAGTAAAAGGCACTCTGGCACAACAAATATCAGGGTCACAAGATAGTAAATAACCCAATTCCGCCTAATACCTGCTACTGTGAACACGCGAGAGTCACTGAGGGTAAATTATACTCGATGTCGAGTGGATCACAGGGGTTACAGGCCGTAAGCCCATCTGTCAGAAACTCATCTTCCCCAAAAGAACACCAGCAGTGATAATGATTAGAGGAAGCATAGACGTCGAAGTTTAATGCGAACCTCGTGATTTGTGTCTGACATGGGCTTCGAAGTCACCGGTCTCTAGAGCAAAGCATCTGGAAAAGGAGAATTCACAAAAAGGCGTTGCAAATACCAAGATCATACTTGAAATAGAAAGGGAAAATGTATGGAAAATAGGATATACTGATTCTTCCTTCCAGTCGTTGCAAACGGCGTGCCTGCGGTCCGTTGTTGAAAATACATGTACCCAAATCGCTGTTGGTCCTCGCTCCCCTCCTCATTGCACATGCGTATGTCCTTGTTCTTCGCCCGCTTCGTAACGTAAATGCCGGGTTTCAAAATGTCCTCCTCGTAACGTTGAACCATCATTCTTCTAGCATGTTTTCGTCTCACCATAGGTGGCTTTCCTTTTGATATATCCCCTTCGCAGATTTCTAAATAACTCAGACACATCGTCACCATTCTGGCTCTACCTCTTTGGCGCAGGCGCACTCCAAAGTCCCTTGGATGTCTCGATGACCCTATTTCCGCTGTTTCCAGGCTGCAATGAAGAGGGGACATTGGATGCTGATGTGTTGCCCATAACGACGTCCGTCTCTGTCTGGGTTCCATATCCACTATCCTTAGGTTGGTTGCTGCCCATTGAGATGGCACTATCTCCCTTCTTGTTGGTAGGCGGCTGCTGTCGCGCAGCGCCACGGCTGGGTTCCTTTGAACGAGCTCCATCCATCATCCCACTTTGAGCCTCACGTAGCTTATTGATAGCACGAACAGTATCAATGGCTGCATGTAGAGTCCGGCGAGCGTTGAAGTTCTTCTTGATATTAGGCAGAAGGTTCTGGCTCTCTCCCTCGGCATTGATAAAGCCGGCGACGAACGGATGCTGGAGAGCCTCATGGGCAGTGATACGTTTAGTAGAATCGATAGTCAGGCAGCGCTGGATGAAGTCCTTGGCGTGGCTGGAAACGCCGCGCCAGTATTCAATAGGTGTGAAACTATAATCTGCGTTGAGAATGGCCTGCATCTCCTCAAAGTCAGAGTCGCGATCGAAAGGGGTATAACCGCAGAGCAAGAAGTAGGTGATGACACCGAGAGCCCAGAGATCTACAGGCTTGCCATGACCTGTCTTCTTGAAAATCTCGGGAGCCATGTATCCGGGAGTACCACAGGTCGTAGTCAGAACGTGGAACTGTTCCTCATCCATAATTCGTGAAAGTCCAAAGTCTGCAATAAGCAAGTCTGCGTTGTCCTCGGGGGTTCGGAAGAGTAGATTTTCAGGCTTCAAGTCGCGATGGACGATACCATGGTCATGGAGGTAAGCGACAGCTGACAATGTGGCGCGAACCAAATCGGCAGCATCTGACTCGAAATAGGAGCCTTTTCGGCAGATTCGATCGAAAAGCTCACCACCTAGTGCAAGATCGGTGACAAGGTAGAGATTGTTCATGGTCTCGAAATAGTCGACAAGAGTAAGGATATTTTGGTGGCCCATGGAGACCTTCTTGAGCACGGCGATTTCGTTGCGAACCTATCATTGCGCATGGCGTATTAGAAAATGAAAACGGAACTGGAGTACTAGGGCACAGTAAAGCAATCCTCACCATGTGTTCGCGACCAGCCATGAGCCGCTTGTTGATGACCTTGGCAGCATAGTAACGACCAGTGTCTATGTGGACACATTCTTTGACGACGGAGTATGAGCCAGCTCCCAGTGTCTTTCCAACCTTGTATCTACAAGGCTGGACTTGAGGCTGTTGGCGGGCTGCAGAGTCCATTGTGGGAATATGGCGTAGGAGTTGGGAGAAGTCGAGGCGGAGAGGTGATAAGAAGATCGCGATGCCCCGCAGAGCGTACAGGTGCGAAACAGAGGGGGGTGACTGTCTCGCGGCGTCTGGGTGAAGTATGAAATATAATAGGACTGTCTGGCTCGGAGAATCGGGTGCCTGTTGTTGAAGGGAGAAACACAGAAATCGAGAACAACTGAGCTGAAGAGAGTAGATATCAGCAGTCGAGATGGCGATGCTGATGGGCTGAAGTGAAGGGGTTCGGTTGGGTTGGTCAGAAGGGTCGGGGCTAAAGAGGTGGTGGGTGGGGTTGTGTCAGACAAAGTCTAGCTGAAATATGGACGGGATGGGTGAGAGAATGACGATGGGCAATAAATGTTCAAGGCGTTTTCGTTCTAGACCCTTATTGATAGGTGCGAGAAGAATTGGTGCCCGGCCGTGATTACAAGTATGAATGCTAGGCCATTAAATGCCTATCCGTATCCCTTCTCAGTGGTGAGCTGCCACATATTCACAGGGCTAGCTACCACGCATAAAAGGAGGAATGGCAGTCAACGACCCTTCCATCAATGGTGCGGAGTGACAATGACGATATTTCGCCTTTGAACACATCATAATTGGGGTTTCTATTCCGCGAGCTGATGCTCTGTTCTTGTAGGTAGTGTCTCTTTTTAGTCGTTCTACTGATACCGAGGCGTAGTAGTCACCTACCTAGGTACTGAGAAACCTTGGATCATCTGCCGCAATTGTTTGCTTTCTACCTAAGGTAACTAAAACAAACAGTGACAACTTATTTTCTTTTAATTTGCGTGTACAATTTTGGCTTTCACCATCTAAACTTCGGTACTGCTCGGTAGCCTCGATAAAGACCAGTATGTTTCTTTTGAGTATTAAGTATTCGGAATTATATCAAAGGTCGTACTCAATCTACATACCTCTTCGCAAGCTAAAGATAAATATATATATATCTATATCGCCATCATTTTAATGCTGTAGACTTTGTCTCGCTTTGCTTGACTAATGCTTGTTCAATCAGAAGGCCCTCTCCGTGATTGTTTCTTTGCGCTGGTAAACTTCTTCTGTTTTATCCTTGTTTCGTGGAATCTTCTGCCACTAATTGATTTTAGCAATTGTTTTTTTTTAACAAAGAAAGCAACTGACATCTCCTCATGTTTCTTTTTCTTTTCTGCGCTTGTTTCGGCAGGTATCACATCTTTGTAGATGCTTGTTATCTCCTCAATCAGCTTTCTTCTGTTGTCTTCTGCATTCGCATCCCGTGATCGTGAATCTTGCGCTTGGAAAGTCAAAGAGTCATTGGTTGCTTTGTAGTACCTGGACTTGCGAATGCCAGGATGCAATGACTTGGGGAGTACAGGCAATAATTGTACTAGTGGATATGCTGTAATTGCTTTTGTTTCGGTCCTTTCACCTGTGAGTGCTAAAGATTTGCTTGGATGTAATTACGTGTGTACTTATTGACATGTTGACCTCCTGGTCCACTCGAGCGGGCGTATGTGGTATTTCCTTTCGGTAGTTGCGTTGAGCTGAAAGATTCAAACCACGAGCGAGCTTCAGAAAGAGCCTCTTGATCGAGCCCGGTGTCGAAAGCCTGGTATCTCTTGAACCGAGGCGCAAATGGACGGCTTGTCAGATATGCTGGAACAATTCTCAGACGTGGCGCCAGAGCAAAGTGTCGCTGAAGCATGGTGAAGTATAACAATCGAACGGTCTGTATATTACATCTGACAGGCCGAGATAAAGAATAAAAGAATAATCCGGTCTGAAAATTCCTCTGAGTTCAATGTCTCATAACACCTGAAGTTTGGGTCTCTCAAACTCTTGGCTTTCGCCTGATGCTTGTCCGTGGCTGAGATCTTGGTTGTGAGCCAAACACAAATGATTTGTTGACCGCCTTGCCAATTCTGGACTAGCCTGTCGTTAGCTGCGGTTGACGCCTGCGCCCGATCAGCCTCAATTGGGACCCCGAAACCCAGCCTTTCACCTGTCTCGGTCTCTGACTTGCCCTGCTAGGCCTGGCCTTACCTTACCCTACTTAACCTAATCGACCTACCTACCTCACCTTTTCAACCTTCATCTGCTCATTTCCCTCAACCTGCGACACATCGTCGACTTCACTCGTGCCGCCATCTTCAATGCTCTTGGTGTCGCGACTACCTAGATCTTTTCTTTACCTAGTCCATCTTTATTTGCTCTCACGTGCCCGTGTCTGAGCCCCAGTCTTCTGGAGACCTCAACTCCTTTGGCGCGATTAGCCAAGCTCCGACGTCGCAAAACCCTCTACCCGACTGCCTCCCCTGTCAAAAAAGCTGGTCGAGTCGTCGTCTGTATTTCTAGTGACCACCTGGTGAGGGTGCCGATTCTCTTGTGGCTTTTTATCCCGCGTCCATTTGGTCTACAAGTCGACCTTTTCGTATTTCGTCTGGAGGCGCTTTGACCGCCACTCCGTCTATTCCATCACGCTTCCAGCTTCCGTCTTGCGCCAGGCCATCGCCTGGCGGCACTTCTCACTGACCAAGGAGCCGAGCTCATTTGTTCGATCTTCAGTTGCACCATCTCTTGGTTCGCATTGTTTGTACGACCAGCCCTGCTTCAGAAGGTCGTCCCATATACTGCACACCAATCTCCAATCCCAGCCTTAATTAAATGACAGAACCCGAGGCAGAGCTTCAGGCGACTGCCAACCTCTCCCCGGTCTCCCCATCACCTGTTCATTCCGCCACCTCGTTGGCGGTCCCTGTGCTTCAAGAGACCGTCGAGACCATCGACGCCATGGTTGCTGCCGCTGCTGCTGCCGCTGCCGACGCCGATGGCTCTATCAACAAGGCCCCTAATCTTGAGCCCATATCAGGGGCTGGTGGTGATGACGATATCGTAGATGACGACAGCCTCAACGACCCTTATGGTGAAGACGACACAGACGTGGCCGCCCAGCAAGTGCCGCAGCCTCAGGTTGAGCAAGAACTTCCCGACAGCAATGACGATTACGCAAAGACTTTTGATTCACCAATTGGGACGGAGGAGGGTGAAGACGGAGTCGTCGAACCACAAGATGTATCATCGCTACCACGAGAATCCAACGAAATTTCTCTTTCATCCGATCATTTGACAAATCGCACATCTCAAGTCTCCCATGTCGTTCATGAATCATCCTTGTCGGCCCAGCCAGGCCAATCTGCGACATCAACTACTTCCAATGCTTCCTCCGAAGCTCAAGCTGCTGGCGTCGCGAATACCTTTACGTCGCAGCCATCCAACCAGCAAACGTCGTCTCCAAGCACGACTAAGCCGGGCGCCAGTAACGCTGCCAGTCCTTCAGCTGATATTCAACGCCTGGTTGCTGATCTCACAGCGCCTTCCAAACCCAACACACATTATGCTCCGTCCGTCTTAGGTGAACATTCTCTCGAGTCTGCTATTCCGTCTTCAGCCTTCTCGTCGTCAGCTTCTCTTCCACCGAGGCCTCCGCTGTCACAGGCAATTCCTCAGACGTATGCCTCGCAACACCACCCACCTAGCATCAATGCCAGTATTCCCTCGAACCTAGCTGCGCCCCCCACGCCCGGGCAGCCATCCACTTATGTGGCAACCGGCGCACCTGCTGCAGTCCCTGATGCTCTGGGTGAATTTCCGGTTCCGCTTGGCTCCGGTCTCCAGGCGCCTGTTGCCATCACTTCTATGAACGCTCCTCCATACCCACCCAAACCTGCTCTCTATAATACTGATCAAGCCCAAGATTCCGAATATGAGCGCCAATGGAACCAATTCTTAGCCGACGAAAACCAGTATATAGCTGAGGCCAAATGGGACCGTTTCCCAGAGGGTTCACGCATTTTTATTGGTACACGATCCGCGTCCGGCGCGTCCAAAAATGGCGCTCACATATTCGCTACAGGTAATCTCTCGAGCGACAAGGTGTCAAAACAGGATGTCTTCGATCTATTTCATCGGTTCGGAAGGATTGCCCAAATCTCACTCAAATCTGCGTACGGCTTCGTCCAGTACCATTCTATCGAGGAAGGACAGAGAGCGATGGATAATCTGCAAGGCATCGAAATAAAGGGTCGTAGAATCCGTAAGTAATGCTTATTGGTCTTTACATATTGTGATTCTAACACTGTCAAGATCTAGAAGTATCGCGTGCTCAGGACAAGTCGAAAAAGGACAAGACTCGAAGCCCAGACAGGAACAAAACCCGCGACAGTGGTCGCCGAAATGAACGGCAAGGCCACCAAACCCGGGATGATTATCGATCTAGTCGCGGTCATTCTCCTCATCGCAACGAGTACGGAAGAGAGGAGTCGTATGGTCGAGATCGAGGCTTTTATGACAGCGGCAGGGGGCGTGCACGATCTCGGTCCCCGGGCTACGGTCGCAACGGCAAGGACAACAATTATCGGCGAAGAAGCCCGAGCCCTTATGGGCGACCCCGACATGAGGCTGAGCTTGATCTCCCACGGAGGTATGGTGCTGATGTCCCTGACGTACAGGTCATCCTTCAGCCAGACGTAAATCGCGACTTTGTCAACTGGGTGGAGCAAGCTTTCAAGTCCCAAGGTCTTAGGTCTGAGGTTATGTTCCTGCATCCTAGGATACCCAAGGACATGGTAGTACAGCGGCAAGCGGCCGAAGGTGTCCATGCCGTTGTCGATCTCGATATTCGAGCGCAAAGCTCAGGCAAGATTCCGGTACAGGCCTTTGATCGCTCCGCTGGCTCCAACAATGTTCGATATGATCAGTACGAAAACCTGGACCCCACTACTGCAGCCAAGGTTATCCTTCAAGCCAAGGCATCAGGAGGTCCTCCTAACTATGGTCAAACATACCGAGGAAATGGCTATGGCAGTGCTCCTTATGGACGCCAGCCTCCGTATCAAGCGCCTGCGGCCAGTTACCCTGGCCCTCCGCCTCCCGCACATTACGGTCAACAGCAGTCTCCTCCAGTCAACGTCGCTGACATTGCGACCATGATGGGTCAGCTCGACCCTGCGTCACTTCAGCATTTGCTCGCACAGGTTCAGGGGGGGGCCCAAAACCCAGCGCCTGCTCAAGGTGGCACGAGTGCAGCAGCCGCTGGAGCACCTCAACCTGACATCCAGGCACTACTTGGAAGTCTGGGTGGGAATGGTGCGGTGCCGCAACATCAACAACAGCAGCACCCTTCAGGCCCATATGGAACTTCCTACGGGCATATGCCACAGCCACCGTCGAACGGAGATGCAGCGGTTCAAGTTCAGAACATCATGGCGCAGCTGGCTAGATACCGGCAGTGAGACTGAACGACAATCTGTGAGCTCTCGATGGAGCTGAGATATTGAGTGTGACTGATGGCACCCTCTGATGATACCACCAAGTTAACGGTTTCTTTTAGACGCTGGAATTTCTGATATTTTCTTGTTCTTGTTTATTCATATTCTAGATTTCATGCCGTCTTAACGGCATCCCTACTTAGGGTTAGACAACGGAGTGTGGTGCGTTATTAGTAAGGATCGGAAGATGGGTGAGGCGTTGATGGACGAAATTCTTGATGGCTATTACGGTGGCTTAGCAAGGAGGAGACTGCACCTCGCACGAGCATAGAATATGATAGTATGGCCTATGATGACGGTGGTGTTGTATTGGTGTGCGTTCTATACCGAATTGCTTTGGGATGAGGTATGGCTGGTGTTTTGAACCTAAGATACCCAAAGTGGTCTTTAGATATTCATAGTGCGCTCACTATTGGAGCAGCTTCCTATTCGAATTTTCGAGTTTCCCTGTAATGCCAGGTTCGTGGGAGCATGACTGACCTCTTGAACCAGGCCCCAGCGGTAGAAGCTTTTCTCTACGAGGCATGATCGTCTCTACAACTTTATACACGCCACAATGCCTTTATATCAACCACCGTCAAGACAGCTCAGGGGTCGCGGAGCAGCTAACTCTAGCTCGACATGGCAATCTAAGTTGGGTTGTGGAAGTTGTGGAGATTCGCAAGGTTTACAACCAAGCCGCTGCTGTTTTAGGTGATCTATTTGCAAACACATCACTCTCAACCAACATACTTCAGGCTGAAAAGGAACAGCCATGGCGTTCAGCATACATTGTATCACCCCCTACCATCCAAAACTTTCATTGTGCCACCAGACTTTGCGTCCTCTCATCACCCACGGCGTCACACTCTTGCGTAGGTCTCGGCTCATCTCAACAGGACCGCAGACCAGAATAGCCACACTATCGTGCTGACCCTTTTGGAACATATCGTCAACAATCCTTTGTAGATCAGGCCTTTTGCTGTTTCGAATTACAGGACGAGTGCTCTGTTGAGATAAATTGTTCATTTCAACGCCAGCTGCGTTGTCGTTGTCATTGGCAACACCCACGTCTCCTGTGAGGAAGAGCTGCACTTGATCATCGTCGAGAAGAGACTTGCCAGTGGGAGTTGAGGCGGCCCAGGTTGCGTCGCCGGCACTTCGAATGGCCCAAACGAGCTGGACATTTGTGGTAGAGTTCTCAGCTAGAACAGCGTGATAGAGTGGTACAGCAAAGGTTGCCCCCACACCACCGGCCACAATGAGTATACGATTGATACCTGAATTGATGAGGTCGTTGAATGTCTTTCCAATGACTCCATAAGGACCCTCAATGATGAGTTCGACCTTGTCAGTCGACCTTCCAGCGTTGGTACTCGAGGATAGATGGTGCAGACGG